GGTGGTAGTTATGCAGCAATAGATAAATGATATGTCATAGAGTTTTCAAACACTTAGAACATGGGGTCAGCAAACTTTCCCTGTGAAGGGCCAGGTAGTAAATATTTTAGATTTGGGGGCCAAATATTCACTGTCAAAACTACTCAGCACTGCTGCTGTGGTGCAAAAGCAATCAAGACAGTGCATTAATGAGCAGGGTGGCTGTGTGCTGATAAAACTTTATTTATACAAACAAGCTAGATTTGGCCCACAGGCAATTGTTGGCCCAGACCCAGAAAAGTGCCTAGATACAGTATATGATATAAAAGTGTCAGCTATGGGTACATGTGTGTAAGGTCAAGTGTGCATGTCTGTGTGTACATGTGAAGCATGATAGAACGTATGTATGTCTTTGTATGTCTGTGTACCCATGTGGCTTCATGTGAAGCATGCATCTGGATGAGTGGAAATACGTGTGAAATCTGTTGAGTCCTTCTGTAAAAGCACATCAATAAGCTGTAGCAGCTGATGTTTCAACGACTGCTCCCCACCCCTCCTTCCTGCTTCTATTCCGAGGAGAAAGGGGAGCATGGGAGAAAATCAAGAGAACAGAGAGAGCTGGCCGGTCCCATCATTTGCATCTGGGCTGAGTTTGGAGGGAAGCCGTCGTGGCTGGGCTGCTGTAGGGCGGAGTCCACGGCTTCCTGCTGGCGGAAAGGAAAATGAAGTCGGTCCCCTGGGGGCGGGGGAGGAGGTGCCCTGAAAATGAAAAAGGAACTCTAGAGCTTTAAGGAGGGGCTTGGGGATGGTTGTGGGGAGAAAGCTATCCCCCTCCTGCAGCGGGTGGCTTTTCCAGGCAACTTGTAAACATCTGCCTGCTGGTTTCATTTTGATCCCCCACTGTGGGACTCCAGAGGGGCTACTTCCTGCATGACTAACCTCCTTGGCACAGTTTGTGGGTGGCCAGAAATGCATCAAATATTAGCTTGGGAGCCAGTAGATGTGGGTTCAGATCCCTGTCTGCATTTACTTACTAAGTGGCATCGGGGCATTCAGCCTTCCTTACCCCGTATAATGGGGATGCTCTTAGCACCCCCTCCTAGGACTGTTGCAATGATCAAATGAGGATACTGTGCAGCTAGCCTTTGACAAGGAGCTTCCCACACAGTAAATGCTCTGTAAGGTGTCACTCTGAGACAGACCCCATGGGTTCCAGTGCTGGGCTCCAAGATTTCCAGTTTGTCTTCCCTAATCGCCACCAGGGCTGCCTTAAACTCCTGATTTACAGAGTCATAGAAACCTGTTTCTTTCCTTCAAAATTCCTACCTCTGTTAGTTATGCAGCACTCACTGGCAGGCTTATTTGATAAGCGTCTGTCTCCTCCAGCAGACTGAAAGCTGCAGCCAAATGAGATGGTCTCCTCTTTGCTAGCCACTGTCCCGAGGGCCAGTATGGGGCCTGGCACACAGCTGGCACTCGATAATTAGTTATTCAATGAGTGAATGGAGATGGAAAACGTCACGATTTGGAATTATCTGGGGCCCTAGAGAAGAACAGCTCCTCATTTTAAATCAACCCATGAATTTGAGAGGCTTTCAATGGGGTCTTTTAAACGGGGTTAGGACAGGACAGCCCCTTGTATTAGTTAGGTCAGGCTGGGCTATGCTGATAAAACAATGAACCCTGATGTTTCCTTTCAGAGGCTCAACATCACAAAGGTGGATTTCTCACTCAAAGCATGAATCAGGTGTCTGGCAAGAGCAGTTGTTCTCAGTTCCGTCTTGTGCTTGTGCTGCTGGCATCTTCAAGTGTGGCCTTCACCGCCTCTGCAGGATCACGACCAGTCCCTTCTGCTCCCTGCCCAACGGTCAGGACCAGCCGCTCAGCCCAGTCAGCCTGCCGGGGCACTGGGAGACACTGGGCTCCTCGGGGATGCTCAGCCAGCAGCAGAAGAGTCTCTGCCACAAATAGGAAAGGCTCAGACTTCCTGGCCGGTCTCACAGGTCTGGGTTTCATGTGAGGATGTCTGAATGCATTTAGAAGGCTTGGAAAGTGGAGATTCCTACTGACTAGACTGCTTTCGAAAATCAGGTATTTATCAGAGGAAAAAAGTAACCAGTCATCACAAATCCTTTGCTTAAAATATGGAGCCATGTTTTCAGTGCAGTTTCCTGCCATTCAAGACCCGGAGGGTCCCCATCTTCAAATGTCACAACCATTTTTCTCTACAGTTGAAATCATTTTTAAAAACATTTTTATTGGAGTGCAGTTGTTTTACATTGCTGTGTTAGTCCCCGCCCCCCCCCCAACAGCAAAGTGAATCCTCTATACGTGTACATATATCTGCTGTCTTTTGGATTCCCTTCCCATTTAGGTCACCACAGAGCACTGGGTACAGTTCCCTGTGCTATACTGAGATACGTTTTAATGGTTTCACTTTGATAAGGATCAACAGCCACCCATCAGAGGCTTAGCTCTGAATTCGAGGAGCCCAATAATTAAATAAACCATAAAGATACACATCTTTTGATAAGGCCCTTAAAAGCTTTTAGTTTGAGTCTGGCACACAGTGGGACTCCTAATATATATATATTTTTTCCCCCTGACTTCATTGGAAGATGATTTGATGGACTGCAATTTTTCTTAAGCGCTGGCTCAAAGTCACTGCTTCCAAGATGGCAGTGGGGGAGGGGAGACAGACAAAGTGCAGGCAAAACCTCTGAATATTCAGGAAAAGAGCCAGCATTTTGTGAACGCAGGCTGTGTGTGATGTATGTTCTCTCCAGGCTAGAAGACAAAGAGGATGAGGGAACTATCCCTTCTATTAAAGAGGCTTTTCTTCGCGAGAAGTTTCAGGGTGACTCTGAGGCCTTTTTAAAAAATGTTTTCATATCCCTGGGGTTGTAGATAAAGGGAACTGCTAGTGGCATTAAATCCTGTGCCTGTTTAGTGATATTCTGCCTTGTACATTCCAGTCATAGAGTTCTGTCCTTGGGTTTTATTCCCACACCACCACCTCCACCCTTTCAGCTGCCTGTCTCTGTTGCAAAGCAAACCTCACAGATACCAGCTGGTGGCTCCGCAGTAGCTGGTGGGGAGATCCCAGTTTCTCTACTGAAAGGTTTCGGAGGAGCCATCTGCCTAAGTCAATGGTTCACAACCCTGGCTGCATTCCAGAATCCTCCGCAGAGCTGTATCCATGCCTGGGCTGCATCTGGGGAGTTTCTGACATCACTGGGCCAGGATGGAGTCCTGAGCGTGGATAATTTTACAAAGCCCCTTGTGTAGCCAGGGCCAGGCCTGAGAACTACTAGCCAGAGCTTTCCACCAGGACTCAAATCTCATTTAAGGAATGAAGTGGGGAGACGGCTTAGAAGATGACACAATTCAGAAGAAAGAGATATAGGTATGGTTGGTTTTCTCACTGGGTGTCTCCCTTTCTGGGAACATGTACAACAAATATTCACAAGTACACTCACTCATAGTCCTGTGTGAAACAAAGCTTGATGATGGGGAGGCAAAAATTCTACCACCGAACCACCAATGCGGAAGTTTAGAATTGGGGAGGCTCTGGGCAGAATTTCTGCCTTAGGGTGGCCCCCTCCCTTGAGATATGGATTCACCTTCCTGTTTTTCCAAAGATGTTGGGGTACCACTCCTACGATACAGTAGCTAACATTTGGCAGTGCTTCTCAGTCCCACGTGCATTACTCTTTGATTTTTCCAAAAAGCCAATAAAAGGAGGGATTATCAACCTCATTTTGCAAATGAGGAAATTGATGTACAGACATGTTGATGGACTTGCCTAAAAGATTATAGTCAGGGGATGGTAGAGCTGGGACTTCTATCCTAATGGGAGAAGGAAATGGCAACCCACTCCAGTATTCTTGCCTGGAGAATTCCATGGACAAAGGAGCCTGGCAGGCTACAGTCCATAGGGTCGCAAAGAGTCAGACACGACTGAGCAACTCTCATGCACTCACTCAGTTCTAATATTTATGACATTTATTATATGCTATGCCTCCAGATGGGCATAGATTATATAATTATGGAATTATAAGTTCCCCAACTACTTCTCATTTCATTGACACAATCTTCTGCCACTTGTTTCTAGCATTTCTGTGTCAGAATCTTATTTATTCACTAATACCCATCCTTCTTTCATATTTTGCTCAAGGCTGCTAAATGCCAGGCTCTGTTTCCAGCTTCCCTTGCAGCTAGGAGTGGTCATGTGACACCATTCTGGCCAATGAGATGTCAGGGAAGTCTACTGCATTCCTTAATCCAGGCTCTCTTCTCCATGGCCGATGTAGCCATTGTGGCATCTTGACAGAACAGGAATGAGGATAAAAGTGAAAATATCCAGAGTGGTAGAGCAAAGAGATGCCTGGGTCCCTGATTCCCTGAACTCCTGGCTGCCTACCTCCAGGCTTCTAGATGATGAGAAAAAATAATTTAAGTCACTATAGGTTTTTTTTATAGGTTGTGGCCAAATATCTTCCTAAGTGATAGCTTCCCAACATGCTTTTCATCACTATTGTTGTTTTTTCCTTTACAATTGAACATACCACCCAAAAGTTCAACACCAGCCAGCACCTGACTGAAGCTGAAGCTTAATCATGAGAGGACACTGAATGAGTGTCAGCTGCATTACTTTTGAGACCTATGGCATGTTGTCACCTGAATTAGCATTTTCATTTTCCAGCTTCCATTTGCTTTCACAAGATGAGGGCAAATGCAGGAACACAAGCAACTGTGTAGACATGCCCCCCAAAAGATGGTAACACTGCCATAACTCAGCCCACCCTCACTGGGCTTCAGCAGATGAGGGAAACCTGGATTCACTGTGGGAAGGTGGTTTCTATCAAAGTCTGGCTGCCTTAAGGTCAAATGCATGGATGTCAAGGCTGCCTGTTTACGCCACTGGCAGCCCCTCTTTCCCTTTTTTATGTGTTTTTATTTTTTGAGCTTCCAAATCATTCACCTATTGCTAAACTACAAACTACCACTAACTCAGCAGCTTAAAACAATGTGTTCAGTTTTGCTTGGTGGCTATAGGCCAGCTGGGCGGTCTTGCTGATCTGGGCTGGTCTGGGCTGGTCTTGGATGGTCTTGGCTGGGCTCAGCTGGTCAAGTGCTTCAGTCATTCTGCTGTCTGCTTGGTTGTGGGCGGGAAGGGAAAGCTCATCTGGAATGGCCTCCGGCACATCTTGAAGGTGGCAGTCCCTCTGGCGACAGGGCCACATGGTCCCTCATTCCCCAGCAGGCCAGTCGTTCACATGTTCCAACAGAACAATTGGAATCAGACAGGCCTAGGCTGGGAATTAGCAAAATGCCCCTTCTACCACATTCTACTGACTAAAGTCACAAAGCTGTTCCAGTTTCAAGGGGTGGGTGAAAAGGCTTCCTTCTTGATGGCAGAGAATGCAAAGCCACTTCATCAGGGGCAGAGGGATAGGGAGCTTTGGATAAGCAGGCTACCAAATAATCATGTTGGTTTTAATGGTGTCGATTTTTGTAAAATTAAACTTCAAACACTTTTTACTTTATAAAATATCTTTAGGCAGTACTTCAATATCGGATGGTAACAGGAGTGGCACTCCTCAGTTTTTCTGATCAGTGGTTTATCTACTTGTCATTAAGTATGTATTTTTACTCCTGGAATAGGAAGTGACTACTCACTCCAGTATTCTTGCCTGGGAAGTTCTATGGACAGAGGAGCTTGGCCGGCTACAGTCTACGGGATTGCAACAGAGTCAGACACAACTTTGGAGAAGGCAATGGCACCCCACTCCAGTACTCTTGCCTGGAAAATCCCATGGACGGAGGAGCCTGGTAGGCTGCAGTCCATGGGATCGCGAAGAGTTGGACACGACTGAGAGACTTCTCTTTCACTTTTCACTTTCCTTCATTGGAGAAGGAAATGGCAACCCATTCCAGTATCCTTGCCTGGAGAATCCCAGGGACGGTGGAGCCTGGTGGGCTGCTGTCTATGGGGTCACACAGAGTCGGACACGACTGAAGCGACTTAGCATCAGTAGCAGCAACCATGGTACACAGAGTAAGAGCTTTCCCTAGAGGGGAACACCATGGGCATCAAGGGACAGGAGGAACAAAATCTGGGTAGCAGAAATATGGTCAGGTGGACCCTGCTGAGGAGGAAGAATGAGTCCAAAGGGAGCAGACGAAGAGGTTGGAGACAGACTAAAGGGAAATTCCATTCAATAATTAGTTCCACACTGACACACACTGGATGCTGAATATGTGGCAAGTCCTTTACAGACACAATCAAGTTAATCTCACTCACTCCTATGCTGCTGCTGCTAAGTCGCTTCAGTCGTGTCCGACTCTGTGCGACCCCATAGACGGCAGCCCACCAGGCTCCTCCATCCCTGGGATTCTCCAGGCAAGAACACCGGAGTGGGTTGCCATTTCCTTCTCCACTCCTATGAGGGAGGTTCTATTATTAATCCCATTTTACAGATGAGGGAATTGAGGTTCAGACAGGATTGGGTAACTTGTAGACACACAGATGAGAACAGGATGCAAGACTTGAAGACAGGTCTCTTGAAGATAGAGCACTGGCCCTAACATGACACTAGTCTGTCTTCAGAGTAACTTGTGTCTCTGTCCCCACCCCTCTGCCTGGCCTGGACCACTGCAGCATTGGATGACTTCCAGCCACCATTGTTTGTAAAAGGCCAGAGAGTAATTCTTTTCAGTGCTATGTTGCAATTACTCAACACTGCTGATGGAGAATGGAAGCAGAGACAGTATGTACATGAATGTATATGGCCGTGTTCCCATAAAACTTTATTTATAAAAATAGATGAATTGTCACCCCCTTCATTCTCCACCTTGCAATTCAGAGTGGGTCAAACTCAAATGTGACCCTGCATTCCTTCCTAAGGTGGATTGCCAGTATCTTGGTGGTCAGTCCACTTTCAGTGTGGTTTCCAACCTTGCAATCAAAGTACAGTCCCTGCATCAGCAGCATAGCCATCATCTGTTAGGAAGGTGGGCTTTCAGGTGGCACCCAGACCTGTGGAATTAAGAACTTACATTCAAGCAAGATGCCCAGGTGGTTTGCACACTGCAGTTTGAGAAGCTCAGGCTTCCAGAACCCCGTGCCTTCCTACCTCTCCCACCTCATCCTTTGCCTCTGGAGCGCCCTTGCTCCCACCCACCCTCACTTTCCAGCCAAGCTGACTGCTTTGGTCACCTCTGTGTCTGAAGCTTTCCTCTCCATCCCAACTCCCTTTAATCAGAGAATTCCTGTCTATCTTTGGATCTCAACTGCAAATCGCTTCTTTCAAGCAGCCCTCCCTGAAACTACTTCTGAGCGTCCAGGTCCTCCTCCCACCTAGCATCCACCACTTTGCATGGAAATGACTTCTTTAACTGACTGCCTCTCACAGCGTCTTGTGAATTCATGAGAGAGACCATATCCGTTACCTCTGTGTGTCCTCACCCCCTGGGGATAGGAGCCACCCAAGAACTAACTGCTGAGAACTAATCAAAACACACCCCTTTCCCTTAGGCAAGTGTTCTACACAACCACTGTTTAACTAGCCAACTTCCACCTGGCTCTAAAGACTTTGAAGAGTCCCATGTGGCCTCTGAGATTCCATCTCTCGCAAAGCCTCGTGGTTTTTCTTATTAGCTAATGTTTACCATTTGGAGAGGCCTGGGGGCAGGGGCTAAGAAATATCTGGGCAAAATTCTTAAGCTACAAATTAGCCACAGGCCAAGACTTGAGTTGTGTTTGGTGTGTGAGACGAACTGAGGGTAGAGGTGGGTGGAGGTGGTAGGCAGAAAGGAGGGGCAGGGCCAGAAGCTTCTTGCTAAAAAAATGACTTGAAGGCAAGACCCCAGGCTGCCCACAGAGCCATGAACTGGCATCCCTCCCCACCCGTGCAGTGTCAATTCTGTACCGTGATCCCAGCTTTGCTGTGTGGAAAAGCGTCCCATACACCCACTCGCTGAAAGCACGTGGCCTGCGAAAGGAATCACAAGCCAGTATAGCCACACGCTGCCCTCCCGGAATATGAGAACTCTCTCTAAATCTGATGTTCAGTCCAGAGGTTTCTGTAAGTTCCTTTATTAATAAAGCAAAGTATGAAAGAACAAGGTCCCCAGTGACCCATATGATTAAAAGTGCAAATTTACTTCAACCTGAAATAGAAAACAAATGGCTGGCCTTGACTGTTTGGGCCATGGAAATTTGGTGTGATTAAAGCACGTTTTAATCACACAACTGTAGCAGCTGAACCATATTTGATCACCTCTTTGGTCTCTGTTATTGGAACAAAACATATGCTATGACTGCAGCCGATAGCATCAAAATACACAGTTTGGGGTCAAAATCCACACTAAAAATAACAGTAAAATAAGAGGAATGTTTTAAAGTCAAGTGACTGAATCAAGGCACTTAAAAAAAAAAGTAAACGGTGCTCACAATATTCCTGAATATCTGATACTTAAAAAATGAGATTACATGTAATTTAGCTGCATGTTTTAGTCCAATCTCTCTGTACAGATGATCACATATATCTTCATCCTCTCCCAATTTATACTTGCTTTATTCCCACCAAATCATGTGCTATGAAAGTATAAAAAAAATAAACAGTAGTGTCTAAGAAACAGACAAGCCGTTTTTTCAAAAAAATTAAACGCCACAATGATAACACTGAACTTTTTTCCCTCCCAAAAGATATTGGAAATGTCCGTGAAGTTTATTTTCCCACCACTGGGGAGGGATAATAATAATCTTCCTCCCTGTGTATACGATAAATTAAATCATCATCAAGGTCAAAAACCACATTTTATAGAAAAAGTGACTTACTTCTTGAGGTTAAAGGAAACACTTTGGAAGGCTATTAGTTTAATTCATCCAGCTAGGATGTCAGTTTTGGTGGGAGCCATTGAGTCAGAAAGAGAAACATCTGATCAGAAGTGCTCTTAACAGTGGGACTGGTAACAAGCCTAAGAAGCTTGGCAGGGAGGCCCCCGCATATTTTTCTGGTGTTCACGGCCACCAACTATCATCCCAAAGGCTAGGAAACTACTAAAAAACAATACTTAATTTTAAAATTAATTTAAAAATAAGAATAACACATAAATAAAGAAGAAACAAGTTATTCTACAATCCTTCCTGCTTACTCATCTGCAGACTCTGATAGTGCCAAGGAATTCAGGCCCAACTCACCATGAAGGAAATGCTAAGAGCTGGCCCCCAGGGGCCTGATGTCCAGTCTGTCTCTTTCGGCTCTAGGATGGAGAATCCTCCTGGGAATTGTAAGTTAAGTGTTATCTGTGGCCGTGTTAATTTGGGGGGTTTGTTTCTACAGTAAAGCTTAGTTCTGAGAGAGAAAATAGACTTGAAATATCACACCCCCAACCACATATTACAACATCATACCCATAACAATAAATATAACCTTATTCATACTTGAGGGGTTAACTGTGTAAGGCAGGGGTCGCAAACTGGTAGCCTCCAGGCGCATCCAAATGTATTTTTGGCCCACATGTGTTTTGGATATTTTTTAATTATGTTGTTTAAAAATCAGAAAGCTTCCTTTTTAAAAAACAATCCTGACTTTTTATTTCCAGGCCCACCTTACCCTCTTCCCTGCATAGAACTGAGCAATGTGCCCCCTGAAGATGGGCAGAGTATCCCCCCCACCACCCACCCCTCCCCTATTTACCTCCCTGTCTTGCTTCTGCAGGCTGCTGAGTTTGCGACCCCTGGTTTGAAATAGCACATATCTAAACAACGTGTTTCCTAACCCAAACCTCTCTCACACCCTCATGTGATTTCACCCCATGGAGTGAAATCTTCTGCCCAGCTCTTCCTTTCACATCCATCTTAAGTCCTCCTTCCTGAAATCTTCAGATTTCTCTTCGTTCACTCACATTTTCCCTTCTTTCAGCTTCAGTTTCATTTTGCAAAAAAGAAAAAAAAAATCTCCATCTCTCAGCCCACAAGCATTTCGACATGGCTCCCAAGACTGGTCAGTGGGAGTTACCGAAGTGTGTCTTACGGCAAAAAGGCTGAGTCATCTCCCCAAAACATTTTCTTCAGACACTGGCTGGACAGTTAATCTTTTTTTTCAGAGCATGAACAATTTTGAGCCTTCTGGAATGAGAATATTTGCATATATGAATCTCCAGTACCAAGTATACACCAAAAATATATATATTTCAGATCAAGGACATGATGGAGCCCAAATAAAATACAGAATTG